TGGGGCGTCTGTTTGAGATTCTTTCTCTCCCTCTACCTCCCCCCACCCTGCGTGTGCATTCATGCGCTCTCTCTCTCTCTCTCTCTTTAAAATAAATAAATAAATCTTAAAAAACAAAGAACAATAACTAAGGCTATTTTAAAAGTGATCTTATCTCACTCTCCTTTGTGCCTTTCCCCATCCCAGATTATTCTCTAGCATGTCTGTCTCGGCTTGAGGTCCCATCTTCCTGGTTCCTTATTACATGCAGAAGCTCCAACATTAGTTCCTCAGAAACCACATATCTGCAGGAGCATGAATGAGAACCTTTCTCACTAGCCCGAGGTCCAGTCTGAAAATGGGCCTGGCTCTTAAAGGCTCTGATGAAATTTCCCAAACCTGTACACCCTGTGCTCAGTGGGAAATGGGAGGTGGAGTGTGGGTTCGGCCTGAAAAAAGATTGGGACATTGTTTGGCACGTTGAAATGACCATCTGTCTAGGTGGTCATGGGCAGCACACTGTTCTGGACTTAGAATCATGGAATGTTAAGTTACAGAAGGATCTGAAATTCTTCTATCCAGCTCCCTCTTACACAGATGAGAACACTCAAAGCTAGGCAGCTCATTCAAAGTTAGTCTAGACCCGGGTCTCTTGAATTCCAGGTCAATATTTTGGTCCCTGCAGAATATAGGATTCAGGTTACCCTGAGATTGGGATTGAGTCCAGTCATTCTGCTACTCTCTTTCTGGGTCTGCTTGATCTTTCTAAATTGTGGCCTCATTCACTTCTCTGCTTATTAAAACCATGGGTGACTTTCCATTAGCCCAGAACTCTTTAAACTGGCATTCACACCTTTCACAGTTGAAACATCAATCTACATCTCTAGCCTTTGTTGGTCCTCCACAACTCCTCTGCACAAACTCCACCCTTCTGCCAATAAGCATCATCCTGCAGTTTCATTGTACACATTGTTCTCTTCATCAGGAGTTGCCTCCAGCATCTCTTCCCATTATATCCCTTCCCATGGGTTTCTGTCCAGCCGGGTGCCATCCCCTCAATCAGCACTGCTGTTATTGCTTCAGGTACTTAGTCATGGCCATGTCTTCAGTCTCTTACTTGATCAAAGGCTCCTTGAGAATAGGGATCATTAGCACAGTTTGCTGAATGTGGCCATTAGAGTGTGCTCCAAAAATCTTCGTTGTGTACAAGAATAAATGGCATCCTGCTTTCTGTGTATTCCAGGCAGTTCCAGAATTTTGGGAGGTGCTGAGAGATGTGAAGCTTGTGTAGGGGAAGAATGGACATGCTGAAATTAAGGAGAGCCTTCCCTTCCCGGAGATCTTGGTCCCACGGTGTGATGGTGGCCGTGGTGCCCATCCCACCCACGGTATCTTGACATGGCTGTCAAGGCTTCTGTTGGCACTTGTTTTATGAGTACACTCTGTCTGAGCCTCTTCCATAGGCCTCAGGAAGCCGTGTAGTAGAGTAACCATCACCTCCCATCTGTGCTTCTTGGGAGTCTCAGGGAAGGCTTACATTGTAGAGCAATTTCTGACATTCTTCTTGAGATACTCTGCTAACATCCAGACCCACATGATTACATTGGTGTTTCAAGCTCTTATCCCAGCCCCATTGGTGATGAAATCCACAAAACATTTACCGTGTCCTTTGATTTTTCATTGGTTGACCTAGGGCAGATATGGCATAAGTAAATAAGTTCCTGGTTTAGTGTTTTAGCTCTCCCATGTCAGATCCTGCCAGGACAGGTAAAAAAGCCAAGGAAGAAGCTATCATTCTGTAATTATCTTGAATTTTTAAAATGACAGGTACCCTCATGGGCAGGCATGGTGCCCTCCTTCCTTCACCCTTTACCCTCTACAATGAGTCTGGTCTGGGCTAAATCAGGATGTCACTGTCTATGAGAATGGGCACGAATAACTCATAAAGAGATTCAGAGGGCTGGCCTGGAAACCAAAGTCAGAGATTCTGTGCTCTCAGCTCACCTCCCCATGGGAGCATTTTGTCAGTACCCCCACCACACCTGTTCTTTCCTTAGTACCATCACCCCTAGGACCCTGGAGCAGAAGGCCTTCCTCTTCAGAAATTGGCTTGGACTGCCGATAGGCATGGGTTGCTCTTTGGGCTGATGAAGATGTTCTGGAATTAGAGTGGCGATGGTTGCACAACTTCGTGAATATACAAATATACTTTGAAAGGGCAAATTTTATGGTATGTGAATTCGATCTCAATTTAAAAAGAAGTCATAGAATACTAAGACTTTGCACAACAAATTAAAATATAGCAGCACAGAAACTCCTAGAATACCACAGGGACTCTGTCCTCAAGTGCTTTCTCTTCCCTGCGCCTGTGCAAAGGTCACGTTGTCTGGAGTGATGGGGGTGGAGGGGATCTGATAAGTTTTCTCCCCTGTTCTGATTCAGGCTGGCATGACCTTGGTCTGGGTGTTTACGTGTCCTTACTTCCACAGTTAAAATGGAAATAATGAGCCTGTTCTTTTTGATGAGGGTCTCCTGGGAAATAAATAAAAAAAAAATGGTTTAAGTGCTTTAGAGTTATGAGGTGCTAGATTCCTTCTGAAGAGTTACAGGAAGGGTTGAAGTGGCACCCAATGTGTGTGGAATTAATCCCAGGCTGGGTAAGAGCAGGTGTGGGTGGGAGGCTGCACAAGTGTGGCTCTGGGTGATTTAATGATGGCGTTAGGTGCTCTAATAGGAACTGTTAATGCTTGTGATTCTTGTTAGGGGTGAGGAGACTTTTCGGTTTCTACTGCAGTGGCAGAGAAAGGACTTGAGGGAGGGATGTTTTTCCCAGGAGGAATCTTCCTGGTGCTCCGAGGTGAAGGCTTGACCAGTGGTTGGGAAGGGGCTTGTGATGAGGGGGCTTGCAGTGACGTGTCGCAGGGCTGCTGCTGGGAAGCACTCCCGAGGGTCTCTCTTCACCTGGAAGTCTGGAAGGTCTCCTTTAGAGGAATGGCAAACTCAGGAGGCCTGTGTAACTCACTGCCTCACTCAACAAATGGGACTGTGCTATGGAAAACCAAGACCCGGATGCAGAGGAGCCTCCAATTGTCACACTCTCTACCCACGGCAGCTTCCTGGCTGCTTGTGCCAGTCACTTCCCAGAGCATGGGCAGCCTACCATCCCGGTGCGATGATGGAGTGTTCCAGGCAATTGGGCGAGGAGGGGCTGAGGATGGAGGGGAGCTCTGATCGTCTTGTCTGTGCTGACCTCTCATCGTCCCTCACACGCCCATTTACTCTTCTCCCTGGTCTGGAGGTTGTTAGGAAGAGGTAGGGAATACTATCCGTGTCTTCTAGAGACAGGCTAATGACCCTGTGGCTCATATGAATTCTTCTCAATGAACTACCCTGAGAAGACCGGACAGTATTCTTCTTCCTCCTCCTCTAATTCTCCTATCAGTGTCTGAATGTCCTCTTCCCACTTCTCTAACTGTTACAAGGAAGCCCACTCTCCCTTCAAGGCCCAACGCAAGTGTCTTCTTCTGAAAGGTTACTTTTCTCCCCCTTTTCCACTGTCAACCCAGGCAAGCCTACTCTCTTCCTCTACATTTCCACATGGTATCATTATGCACACGGTGTAACACCTGCCACATTCACATTCACGCAGCGTGGGTTGCTTTGGAGAGCTTGTTGAGGGACTCATTTAGATTAGTATTACAGTGCCTAGAACAGTGCCTGGTGCATAATACATGCCCAGTGGATATCTGTTAAGTAATGAATAAATATATAAGTAAATAAATAGAGCCCAACATCATTTGTGTCCTCCTACAAATAGTGAAAGATATTTATAAACTCCATAAATATTTAAAATTACTTCCCTCTTTATGGTGTGGTACTTGATGAGAATACTATTCTAAATGTGTCTTATTAAATCTTTTTTATGCCTATGGAATTTTCTTTTTTTTTTTTTTGGTCAAAGGTGATAAATTTTGGGAGAAGAAGCCATGCCTTTTAAAAAATGAAATTTTATAAAGTCATGCATTGCCCAAGTGTGCTCAGCAGAATATTAGTTCCCCAGGGTGGTAATAGTTGTTAAGGAAAAAAGGATTTGGGGGCCAAATGAAGTTTAGGAAAGGCTAGATTAATCAGGTCTCTCTATTGTGGGATGTCTCAAAGCTTCCATATGATATTGCTCAGGAATATTAGCAAGAGAGACACGTAATAACTGCATACTTCTGTAACAGTAGCTTAGCACCTACAATGTGAGATGCACAGTAGGGTTTTGGTATTTTGTTATTCATCATTGGTGATTGTCCACTGTCCCCATCTAGAGCCCTGAGAGCTGGCCAGCGCTTCTGTCTGTAACAAGGGCCCACTTCTTCACCACCTTCTCCACATGCACCACCTCTGCTCTGCAAAGATGAGAGAAAAATTAAAGGGAATTAAAACATCACCTGCCACAGCAAGTATCACACATCTCCAGTGGGCTATGCAGCAAATGACTGTGGTTTTAGAAATATTCCGTCAGCCCCAGGTGCTCTGCAGTAACCTCTCAGGGCTCTTCCGGATGTGCCAGTTTTCAGCATAGTAATTACCAAACCCCTCCTTGGTAGATTCACTGGTGTCTAGGAGTAATTTCTAGGGAACTCACATTTTCAAATTTACAAGAGGCAAACAACCTTGTGTTTACCTCGGGGGGTTATCAGGGTATTCAAACTGTGCTGGATAAAGGATGCTATTGATCATAGAAATATGGGAAAGAACTTGAATTTTCACCTTGGTGTTTTTCTCAATGGGTGGGAGCCTGGCTCACTAGATTATGGAGCAGAAACCTCTGGGGCATCATTCTCTTTTTCTCAGGGCCTCTTCCCTTCCTTGAGATTCGAAACAGCAGTAAACCTGTCCTAACTCTAGCTGGATTCCTTTGTTGCCTTTAACTGATGCTGGCTAATTGGTACCATTGTCTAGGAAGAAGATGAATAAGATTCGGATTGGTCCAGTCGGAATTCTGACCCGTGCCTTTGGTGTTTGTCCTCTAGAGATCTCAGGGAACACAGAGGACATCCCTCTGGTGCGCTGGAGACAGCAATGGCTGGAGAACGGCACTTTGCTTTTTCACATTCATCACCAAGATGGTGCCCCCAGTCTCCCTGGACAAGACCCAACGGAAGAACCCCAACATGAGTCAGCAGAAGAGGAACTGAGGATCCTGCATATCTCAGTCATGGTAAGCTGCATGGCTTCAGCCTCTTAGACCACAGCTGATGTTATCCTGATGTGAAGCGACTTCGTGCCATAGACACAGCTCTACAAAACCCACTGCACAGTGATCGTTGATCACGTGAATAAGTAAACGTCCCACTTGTGGGAAATGTCTCCACCTGTGGTGAAGTAAAAGTTGCAATTATTTCTGTACCGCCATTATCCAACTGTTCTCTTTGGGAACATGCCTAGACATGGTGTGACTTTTATAGACAAGAGACAATATCAGATGGGGGCAGTGGATTGTCTTAGAAAGGGGTTATTCAACTAGTATATCAGAATGTCTTACAATAGTTGCTCCATACATGTCTGCGGAATGACTGAGTTGCCAAGCTGCTTGCTGCTACCAAGCCCCTCTTCTCTCTTTTCCAAGCAGGGAGAAAGTCAGCATTTGGCTTCCTCACCTCTTACAATGAAGGGCATGTTAATACATACTTGCCCTTCTCCATAGCCTAGCTCAGAATGTCACCATCAGCATCCCTTCTCCTTAGAAATTTGAGGCCTCAAGAAAATGAGAAGATTCTTTCTAAAATTCTAGGAACCTGTGTTTTAGAATCTCACTCGAAAGTAAGTGCTACAATGGCAGGCAGGGGTTTTGTTTGGTGGTGTTTTGTTTACTGATGTATTCTTAGCACTTAGAACAATGCATTCACATAGTTAATGTTTAATAAATATTTGTGGAAGAAATGAATGAATTTCCCCAGTGGAGATAGAAAATGCTTGTTTCACTTGTGGTAGATATTTTATGTATTAGTATTATATTGGTAAAACCAAATACATAATTTGCTTCTAGGGTAGCCTGAGAGCAGGCTGAGGCTGGACTGATTCTTCATGGGCCATATGTATGGGAAGGCATGGGTTGCTTCACATTTATGAAACTCTACGGAAAACCAGTCTAGGTCTTGGTCTAAACTCTATTACTCTGGCACCAACACTACATGCTAGTTAGTTTTGTGTATCAGATTGGGAGAAACTGAGCACATTTCAGATATATAAAAATTTCCATCACCCAAATATTTGGCATCGAAATTCTCCCCATAAAATCTCCACTAAGACAGTATGCGCTATGGTGAGTGCTGTGAATTGTGTAAGACTGTTGAATCACAAACCTGTACCTCTGAAACAAATAATACATTATATGTTAAAAAAAAAAAAAAGAAGAAGAAGAAAATAGCAGGAGGAGAAGTATGAAGGGGGGAAATTGGAGGGGGAGACGAACCATGAGAGACTATGGACTCTGAGACACAAACTGAGGGTTCTAGAGGGGAGGGTGGGGGGGGGATGGGTTAGCCTGGTGATGGGTATTAAAGAGGACACGTTCTGCATGGAGCACTGGGTGTTATACACAAACAATGAATCATGGAACACTGCATCAAAAACTAATGATGTAATGTATGGTGATTAACATAACATAATAATAAAAAAAAACTCCGATAAAGTCTCAGAACATAAGTCTTCTACTTCTTTCTCAACTGGCGTCCCCATGAACAACTGGCTTGATAGATTACCTGCGTAGACACAAGCTACTATTTAAACTGTATGGTCAAGAAAAGAGTCCTTGAAGAGCAAATGGTAAACCTGTGTTTAGATGTGCTAGAAGGCAGGCAGGTGAGTGAGATTGTTATGCCTCACATTTACAAATTAATTGAGGTTTATGATACGGCAGTTACCCTACTTGTACATCCTTAATTAAAGACTAGCATTTACTTGCTCAGGGAAGCTGGTCTTCTTTAATGTAGCTTGTAGTTTCCAAAGAGTGGTGAGAGCAGGCAGATCAGCTGAATCAACTCTGGCATTGACTGGAGTGACAGATGTAGAGTCCCCGTTGTCTTCACATTTATGGTACAGTCCGATTGCAAAGAAGGGCACAGTGGTGGACTTCCCACCAACCATTCCCATCCTCCCATCATTGTGGAAAACAGTCATTGTTGCGGATGGTTTTTGTTTCATTGTGTTTCTTTTGGTCTAAGACCATTTCAAAGAACGAGTCATCACACCAAAGAAATGTTTAGGCTGTAGAAAAGTGTCTAGAGAGTCCCAAGAACTAATATCAGGTGTGATTGTGTCTGAAAGAAAGACCCTGAATACAGGCAGTTAAGACAGGCAATGTGTCGGAAGGTGTGTTTGGTGGGGGCTAGGGGAGTAGTGTGAGGATCCACGGGAAGACAGTCTAAAGCCGGTCTTAGTTTCTATGTCACATCTTAGTGTAGCAAGCATCCTACTTTCTGTCCTCAGAATGATATGCTCCAGTAAGTTCTCTGGAGAAAAATATGTGTATATATGTATGCGTGTATATGTGCATGCATGTTTGTGGGGGTGGGTCGCGGTGAGGATAGAAATGTGCTGATCAAGGATGCCAAAGGATTTGAGGACATAGTTTGTTCCCTTAAAATATAACAACAAGCCCTACATTACTAATGCTTTTTTTTTTTTTTTTTTTTTCTCCCCCCCCCCCCCCACCCCGGGGCAGGGATTAATGGACCATGGGCACTGAAATGGAAAGAGAACAGAAGTCAGCCTTCAACCCTTTCTGAATCTTTCCTTCATATGCTACTGGTCACCCGTGGCAGGCCAACAATGATGTTCTGTCTTCCAGATAAGATGGAAGAAGTTATTCCTGCAGCTTTACTTTAGTTTATTCTATGTTATTTTTCATCAAGCTGGAGGGGAGAGAGGTTAAAAGTGCATGGGCAAAGAGTAGGGGCAGGCAAATCTTGTGTTTGTCTGGCTTGACCTCTTCGATGTTGATAGGCCCACATCTCTATGAAAAATTCAGGAAGGCCATTGACTTCTGTAAGAAAACAAGAATCCCAGGGGAAAGTGAAGATATAAGTACTCCCTCCCATCCTTGTCAAAGATGGTGTGGTCAATGGAGTCTCCTCCAGCCTGGCTTGCCGCCTTACCTTGCCCCATTCTCATTCCATGCTGTACACCCTCGCACATCGCCTCTCTTATCCTTCATATTCTTTTCTAGACAGTTTCAAAGTCTAAAGTTGTGTGTCTGCCCTCAGCTTAGAAATCAAGCCTGAGGGTATCCCATTTGAAGGTGTCATTCCTAGAATCTCTGATGGCTTCTTCTTAAGAGACTCAGGGACTGGTAGACTTTATCTGATACCCTTTATACCATATCTTTTGGAGGTAAAGTAAGCAGCCATTTGAGGCCTCTGGAAAGAGAGCATTATAAATGTCAGAAGATTTTGTGGTCCTTTGACTAGTAACGCTGTTGGGCAGCAGAATGCACTTACATGAAATTTTATTACCCAAACCCTGTTAGTTATGAAATGACAATAGCAGAGCTATTTTTCATTAACTATAATGATCGATACTGATACGGTTTTCAGTTTGGATCCAAATAACATAATTTAAAAAAGAGAGAAGTTAAGGTGATTATCAAAACATGAATACACCCAACCTTTTCTCTCTTGTTAAGAAAATGTATATTTAAAAGCTTAACTGGTAATTCTAAATATTTCCAATATGTGCTGAGGGAATTAATGGTTCTGTGAAAACCTTCAGGTTTACATTTCTCTCATTTTGTATTTATACTTTTGTCATCCATATTGCCTCAATGCAGGGACCACTGTTTATTTTTATATTTTGCATTTACCATGTTTAGTTTTAAACACAAAGTATAAGTAATGAGAGACTGAAAGGCAAAGGAAAACCTTTTCTGTATCCATGTGACACTCTATGAATGAGAATTGGTGAATTCTCTCTTACACTGTGCTCACTATAAATATACCATAAGCAAAATTGTGGGCTTGCAGAAAACCAATACCTCAGCTGGGAACTTGGCAATTTAAAACTTTGAAAAACGTTTTGCTTTTCTTGTTTTTCAATCACATCCTAAAATTTTTGAATTATTTTTTCTAAAGAGGTCCTCTTTCCCTCCTGAAATCGTATATTATTGCTTGTCAAACAATGGGTTTTAACCTCCTGCACAATTCCAACGAGGCTGAAGAGATTTATTTTGAATTTTGCAAGATAATTCACATTTAAAACTACTGAGGTACACAGGGATACTCTTTTGCAAACCCTTGAATAAGTGAAAGCAAAATCATCAAATGAAAATTGATGTGTGAATTTAAATCCAAAAGTCAAAAGAATTTTTCAGTGATAAGCAAATTGTTTACTCCATAGAACATCGGGTTTTAACGTGACTTTACATTAGCTATTCAGACTCTGTGGATTTAAATTTCCATATTGTACTTTTGCTAATTTACCATGTGATCCACATTTTTCATCTTAATGTATGCAAAAGATTTGAATGGTGCATAATAGCATTTTAATGTATTATCTATATATTTCATCTTTGTAATTAAAGACGTTGTGTTAAGAGACTTCCTATATGCATATAGGTTGGTTAAATACATTTTTCACAGCAAGTAACCTTTCAAAAATGCTTCAGTTTGATATATGTATTTTGTGGTCTTATCTCCCACTGGTTAGATAATCTTTCATAGTTCAGCCTTCTTAGGTGCAATTCACAATTGTGGGAAAAAATAATCTTTGAGCATTTGTCGATCTCCCTGAGGACTGTGTGACTAGAGCCCATCACTGAAGGCTGGGTGCCGCTCAAGACCTCTAGTCCCGGCTGGGTGGAGCCCATTGGCCAGTGTCTGTAGGTTCCTGTGGCCTCCCAACTGCTGGCTCCTCGGGTGTTTCGAGGCACCTTGTTTCTGGGAGCCCCAGGTGAGCCCTGGACACACAGTTTTCTTCAGGCAGAAACAGTGTAAAGAACAAGGTTCTGGGACGAAAGAGGCCACAGGTGCTGCTGTGGAGTCCCAGTGTCCAGGAAATAGAATGGGCACTTCAGAGAAGTTCCATCCTGGGGATGTAACACTTGGGCTGAATCAGTACAAAGCTGAGGGAACGTACCTATGGGATTCCCTAGGATTGTGTTTCTAGAACTGTAGACAATTGTGTGCATCCTTACTCAAGTTCAGTTCAGCTGCCTACGCATCC